TGATAGTTTAAGTTTCAATTAGGCCTAGTGTCTGGGTATTTTTTATATTAGGTATGAACTAAAATTGCCAGTACTGCAAATTCCCTTGAAATATTTCTCTATCCTCTTCCTCGTACTGGCATGAAATGCAGTCAGTTTTGTCAAATGTAAAGCCAGTCCATTTATGTTCCTTTCTTTAATTCTTTGATATTGACTTCCCGTATTGAGACAACAGCAGCCCATTAATAACTGTGCGGGAAACCCCTTACCGTTAAAGACTGTGACACAATCCACAGCGAGAGCACAGATAAGGCTGACATGGATTCGTTCTCTAAAGTGGTCCCTAATGGTGCACAATGAGTCCAGCATCAGTAAAAAAAAAACATTTAAGAGTGAAACACGACTTAACAAGAGCCGTGTGAGCTGATTAAAATGTGTTCAATAATTAAAGATGTGAGGACTCTTTAGTGCTACCGATCTAGCAACAGGAAGTGCTGTTTTCACACGTGTTACAACTGCAAAGCATCTAGTTTCCCATTTGGTGTGCGATCATCTGAAGCTACATTTTGAATTGGCACCTGTCTTAAGCAATACAAGCCACAACCCTTTTAGCTCAGTTTGTGGTTTTACATTGTTTAGGTGCAAATAGATCATGTTCTAGCAACATGACAGTCTTCGGCCAATCATCATTCAACATTTGCAGAGACAAAAGAAAGCCTTACGTTTAGTTATTATGCAACGGTATTTAGCCCTGTACTCATTCCTTAATGAGCCTATCTTATGCTAATTTACAATCTATGTTACACTGCTATTTTCCTCATCACAAACATAAAGTTTTGCTTCATTCACACATTTAACACACAAACCTTGCATATTTAGGCAGAGTTCTTCTCTCAAATGGAAAACACTCAGTTCCACCTTGAGATGTCATGTGGTAATACAGGAAGTGCTCAACTGTAAAGTGTGTTTAAACTCCATACACCTTCACTAGAATCACTTGAATGATTTCAGCTCTGGAATTGCCCATCTCTACTGAACAAAAGGTAAAAGTCGCTGTCAACTTGAAAACTACTACTACATGGTATCACAAGGTGGAACAGAAAATTTTTCTACCTCATCAAAAACATGTTTGAGTAATCCTTTATTATCAGTCTGTCTACACCTCCAAAGCTCAAAACTGTAACAAGGTTTAAATCTCACAAGAATCAATTTTATGTAATAAAGAATCTTTAAAAAATACTTTATTTGAGAGTACCATTATGGATTTGCTGTTCTTCATCAAATCACATCAAATTCCAATAATAATTTATAATATGCAATCATCTTGGCGGATGCTTATAAAAAAAAAAAAAAAATATGAGCAATAGAAAGTGCTGCTTGTGGGATGGCTTTAGACATATATAACATAACATCATAAACAGAACAAAATGACATAATACCCACACAACCTTAACCTCTGTAGGTACATTGTGTAGCAGTTTGTTGTCTGAATCCTATTTTAAAGCACACTCCTGCGGTGTCTGTGCTCTCTGTCTCCTTTATGCAAATGAGCTCTGTTATGTGGAGGAATGCAAAGTGATTTGTGACATGATACGCCACACTGCCAGCTCTGTGGAAACAATATTTAGATAAAATGTCTGAACGTGTGTAGGAGATACAGCACTGGTTAAAGAGAGACATACAGACAGCAGAGGGGGCAGTGAGCTGTGGCTGTAATATATAGTCTGGTCTTCACGATGCTCCTTGAACTGTGCATGATAAGTGTCTGTGTTGACACGTCCACATAATTGTTGTGTTCGTGTAAACCAACAAATTATGCAGCTGCCGTCAGTTGTGTTTGTAATCACAAGCATCGTGGGCACAAGCTAGAACTGCAGCTGATCTCGATGCTAGTATTTGACTAAATGTCGACTCAGTGCTGATTGCAAAGTGAAACATTATAAAACCGAAAATGATTTAATATAATAAACTATTAGTATATTAAACAATTTAAGAACCTAGCACTTCCATCCACAGACCTGCTTATTGAAAAAGCTACTAAATCATGACTCCACACTAACTCCTCAGAGACAGTTGGCCATATTTTAAATGTCAATATGCTCTGAACCAGAAACATCATTACAGCTCGATATTAACAGCTGAAGAAGATGTGTGGTGCTGATGAGGAGTAAACATGCTAGTGCTCCAGCCTGGTGTGTCTGTCACTGTGTGTGTGTGTGTGTCTGTGTGTAACAGTGCATGTGTCTGTCACTGTGTGTGTCTGTGTGTGTGGACAGGGGGTGTATAATAATTTGTCTGTCCATGTGTGTGTCTCCTCTGCCCAGATGGTGTGCTGGGTGCTGGAGCTTCTGCGATCTGCTGCCAGCGGTGAATACTGATCAGAGATCACTGTCACTTCTACAGCACACAGGCGTCATCCATCTTGCCTGGCGCACACCTCCACTTCCACATGGTCCAACTGCTAATTCACACGGCGACGCAGTGTGGCCTCCATGCTGATGTGAGGGGCACGGGTCACAGCTGCAATGCTGCTAATCAGCCTGTCTGTCGCTCACACATGAAGAGACCAGCGGCACCACATTACACTCCTCTGTGTCCGAGAGCTGACAACCAGTTAAAAAAGCACCTCTACAATTCAATTGTGTTTAAAGATGAATGCTTGACTTGACTTACTGAGTGAAGAGTATGGGTTTGGCACACACACTTAAAAAAGGACTACATTTATCTTCATCACACTATTTTGAGAGTCAGAAGTCATCTATATTCATTTAGTTTAGAATTATTCCACGAAAGAAATACACTAAAGTATCACAAGAACGAATACTTTTTTATGAAAACACCTTTTTGACTAAAGATGAAGTATTACAAGCAATTTTATTTGACTGGTCAAGTACATCTCTTGTTACTGATTTGGCTGAGAGACCCCTGGTGGTAGGAATTCCATTTGTGTGTCATTAAACACCATTTAGTATGTAAATGAGCAAAATCTCAAATGTCATGATATTTCCCGGTCATAATAGCAATGAATGCCATTACAATAGTCACTAATACTGATGATACTGTAATGACTTACTGCTCATCTGCAGCTCGGAGTAATCCCTTTATGAAATGTAATGAATCGTGAACAAAACCCCAGGGAAATACAGTCAATCTGAAAGAGCTTATTCCCAAAGCCAAAGCTCAAGTTTAGCCACGCTGCACCTTTTAAAGACAGCTGGCATTTTTCTGAGCATCTCTACGGCATCTCTAAAGGTGAATGTGTGAAAACTCGCCGCAATATCATCCCAGTGTAATTACATGAGGAAGCCGTGTGCTCATTTACAAGAGCATCAAGTGATTCCCCCGTCTCCTGACCTCCTCCCACGACGCCAGCTGCTCCTTCACCTGTCAGCAGGTTTCCTCACATAATGACAGAACCATCACTCACATTACTCACTGTAACTGTGTTCACTGTGTGTTCACTGTGTTCAGTGTGTGCACCATATAACTGTGTAACTGTGCACTGTGTAACTGTCACTGTATTCACAATGTACCTGTGTGCATTGTGTAACTGTAACTGTGCTCACTGTGTAACTGTGTGTACAATGTAACTGTGTGCACCGTGTTCAACATGATCATTATATATATATTTGAAATATTTATAATAAATTATAAATATTGTTATACGTTAAAATAATCCTATAAGGTCTGCAAAGAAACAAAGCTAGCTAGGAAATAAAACACAGTAAACCGTACGTAGTGCATATCTGTCATCGAGTATTATGACTTGTCAAATTCTTCTCCAAGCAAATTTGGATTTCCCAGCAATTTTCCAACATTGATTTCATGATTAACAGACATTCCTTCAAATTGATTTAGATGGTTTCCAATGCTGTCTAAGGACAAAAAGCCAATGTGTATAGATTTATAGTCAAGGTTAGGTTCAAAGACATAATAACGCAGACCCATTCCATTTGAACAAATCCAAAATGTCTCCATCAAACGTACTGAAGGCTCTGAGCATGTTTCATTCTTGATAACAAGCTCTGCTGCCAGGATCAAATATGCTCTATCCACCTTTAATCAGCTCATAACCAAATGAATGCAAATGACTCTTCAGAGGACGAGCCATGGCCATGTCCATCATTTCTACTTAGTGATGCATAGAACAGTATTCAACACAACACACAAACCCACAGAGCGAGAACAATGCCATATTAGGTCCTGATCAGACAAAGATGGGCCAGACAAAATGAAAGTGGGGCTAAAGCATCGCACCTCCAAATGGGTTCTGGGTCTCAGAGGAGCAAGGTCTCCTGTGACTGCCACCAACACTAATCTACTGCTGCGTGTCTCCAGCTCACACATGTTGCAGGGAGCTCAACACACGCTGACACAGAGCAACACATTCTTCTTTCAATTTGTCCTTCAGTGAAAAAGATAATAAAGCCCACAACACAAAGATCTATGCAAGCTGTTTCCTCTGCTGCCGTTAACCCTTCACATGCCCCTGCACGAGCCCTGTCAGCAACACATGAAAAAGTGCATTTGCGCCTGATTTCAGTGCATTCCAGCTGTCCATGTTCGACAGGTAGACTGACGGTCTCTGGGTGGGTTTCAAATGCAAGCCTGATCTCTCAAGGCTTAGTTCTTCATCTGAAGAATTACGACGCAGGAAGCCCTCCTGTCGCATACCACATATAAACAAGGAAAAAAAGAAAAAAAGGAAGCATATTCGCTTTCAAAAATGCACAAAAACATCTGGATTTCTTAAGCACTTCAAAACTCCGACCTCTTCTGAAACAAGAATTGAAAACAGGAATTTGGGCACTAATGGAGACTGCCACATTCCAAACTACACGGAAAGAAAAGCAGAAAAACATGAGTGGGAGAGCGGGAGCGTGCACAGTCAAACATCTGCCCTGTGAGCCGCGCGGAGTGCCCTGTTTTCACTGGGCTTCTCAGGTTACAGGTAGGGAACCCCAAGGTTCTCCCATGGAGCGCACACGCATGCACACAGCACAGCAGCTCTGGGCACTTACCCGAAGGCACAAAATGAAGAACTTTGTTGGTCTCCATGGCAGAGCGAGCGGTGGCCGAATGCACACTTCCTCTGGAGCGCTCCCCCAGTCAACCCATCATGGTTGTGTTATCCTGTGCTGATGAGTGTGAGATCACCTCTGCTCCTGCTCTGCTCTGTTTCTGACTGCCTCAGACACATGCAGTGACTCAGCCGCTCAGGCTGCCTGCGCTCCGTCTGTCCGCTGGGTCCTAGAGGCTTCTACGTTCTGTTTCCAGCCCACCACTCAGCAGCCTATGGTGAGTCTCCTTCACAGAGCCAAAGCAGGCGTCACGACACACCTCCCAGCTCTGAGCAACTGCTCACAGCCCCACATGCAACATGTGACACACCTGGGCAGCGTCCACTCCGACCATGTGACCACAGATCCTCTCACATCTGGATCTGCGCTCGGCTCTGACTGCACTCAAACTCAATGTCAAAGTGATGCACGGTGCAGCAACAGGCTATTCACACACTCACTACAGTGTGAACAACACAAGAGGCTACAGATAAACTATGAAACTGTGTATGTTTAGTAATTACCAGTGGGTGTAACCACCTCACCCACTATTTAAACAGGACATGCTAAAAACACTAGCAGAAGATAAATGTTTGTTTTGGTATTATGTTTGTTTTATTATATATAAATAAAACATTCCCTCCTTTTAATAATCTTTAATAATAAACACTGCAGAGATCTTCAATAATAATTTATGGATCAATTTGTTAAATATGTTTTTCATGATTTTTTTTTTTTATTATTGATCTGATCATTCTTCAAGGTAAAAACAAAGCAGTGTACAGTTTTCTTCAAACTGACTTTGAAGGTTGTGGCACCACACAAAGGCACATGACAGCTCAGAACAGTACGGAGTCTTTCCTTCTCTTCAGCAGCAGGAAGTGTTTTAGCTGTGTATTGTACTGCTGTGAACAGTGCGGTGGAAAGAGGGCGAAGCGTACCTTTCACAACCTCGCTCTGCTTCCTCTTGTGTGTCTCATGTTTAGTGATGATTAATGCGTTAAACCAACCTCAAGTGACAGGGTCCTGGTGGAGACAATCTGCTGTGACACATGATGCACACTTTGACCAAAAATCATCCAAAATATTCACTCAGACTCAAAATGTCCTTAATGCTGCTCTAATTCATGATTCATTCATAGATTTACATTGCTATTATATCTCTAAATCTTAAAGGTCATAGCAGATAAATATGTATGATCTGCATTAGATAAATAATAGCATCTCTCCAGTCTAATCTGTGAGTTTTCTCAACTGCTTATTTCATCATGACAGCATAATGTATTACAAATAATGTTCTCATAAAGACCTTCGTTAGATTGATCAAACTTGAAGCCATATATGGAGGCGTTCAAAGCATTATTTTCCCACAGTGATGTAAATGCTGAGTGAAAGGTCATTGATTTGCATAGGGCTGTGTGCTGTGTGTGCTGTGTGTGCTGTGTGTGCTGTGAGTACTGTGTGTGCTGTGGGCCCCGGGCTCTGTGAGGAGGGATGCGTCAGTCAGAGACACAGGAGCATGGGGCCCCTGCGGGACACCTCTCGCCCTGCGCCAACCTGCGGCTTTGGCATCTGGATATAGACGTGTGCTTAAACACAAGGGGCATCACAGCTCATTTAAATATACACACACACTTACACGGACACATGCACACATATACGTACACACACACCCACACACACACTGTCCAAACATGTGGAGCTAGTGCATCATAATGGATGCACTAGGCCAACTTGCTTCTAGTACCAAACTGTATCACTGTTCTATGTGTTTTTATTAGTAGTACATAATGAGGGATTTTAAGGTATTTCATGTAGTAACAGTGACATTCGTACACTCCACTGTATTATTTCAGTGTCCATCAGAGATACATTGTCACTGCTGAACTTCCTCCTCACGTAAATTGTGACAAGATCAACAAGCGGTAAAAAGGAGTCAGTCATCATCTAGTGTGTTTTCTACAGCAGACATGCTCTTACTCAGTAGCTCTTATTTTCCCATAGACAGATTGCATTAAATGGCACTGACTTAAATAGTAGTGTGCAATGAAATATCTAGTCCTGCCCTAGAGGTATCCACAGGTAGAGTGGTGCTCTCACATTTGCAGTGGTGTGTATCAGGCTGGTGTAGTCCGTGTGATGTGGAGTGCCCAGGGCAGCCTCTCTATGGCAGCAGTTATCACAGTGAATGGCTCCAGGAAGCTCCCGGCCTGGAGTGTGTGTGTGTTTGTTTGTTTGTTTGTGTGTGAGCGTGTTTGCGTGTGTGAGAGTGTGTCTGTGGGGGTGTGTATTGGTGAGTGCTGAATCACCACCACAGATTAAAGAGCACACAGTAATGAGCAGCTCGGACCCTGGCCCTGTGCCCCCTGTGAATCCTGCAGATTCAATAGAGCCACAAGAAATAACAGTTTAAAATGATACAAGAAGAATTTCAAACATATTATTGAAATCAGTTATAAGAACAGTTTTAAGCTTTTAACCATTTTAAAATGATTTTCCCGTAGTATAAACTTTCTTGGAATTGTATTGATTGTTTCAAGCATGTTTAAAGTGGTGTCCATGTAGCTTTGTAAAAGTTTGTTTTGTCCTTATAGATGTATTGTAAAAGAAGCTCTTTTTGGGCAAAACAAGATTACGGTGTGCTGCCTGCATCTAACTATAAAGCATTTTTATTGTCCGCAAACCAGGAAGTAATGTTGGTGTGCAGTTAGCAGGCTAGTTGTTGTTAGTAAAAAGAAAAAAAAGTTGTTATGAGAAAAACACCGCTCTGGCCTCTGAAACTTGTGAAAGCTCTAATAAATTCAATGCGGTAAAGAATGTGGTAAGAAAGAGAGGAATAAGTTTGGAATGCTGCAAACATTTTAAAATTAACTAGCGTTGTTTTTCACCTTTACGTAACCTATCCATTATGCATTGCCCTGCATTTGAGGCTTGAGAGTTCAGAAAAATTCAGTTTTCACCTACCCCTATTCCCCACGCTACTTCACTGTAAAATCTAGGCTCTAGGTTATAGGATTAAAACAGTGTCAGCCATTTTTCAAAAATAAAGACAGTAAAATGCACTGCTTGATACAACAAAATGCTGCTATGCAGAGGCAGGCACAGTATTATACAATCAGTTCTGCAGTTTTGAACTAAGTCAATGGACTTGTTTCTATTATCAAGTGATTCAAGATCAAATAACATAACAAAATGTACATAGTGCACAAGTGTGTGTTCATTTAACTGTACTACCAAATCGAAGGGGAAAAACATATCTTCTTTAAGAACAGCTTAGACAAAAATGTCTAAATGATTACAGTTAAATGAGCTAATGATTTTACAAGGTTTAAGTAATCAAAGCAACTAATTTAATCATGCAATGTAAAATCCCACTGTAATGCTTTAATGGCCAACATTAATATATCTTCCATATTCATCCGACGAAACTCGATTAGATCGCTTGGTACATAAAAATAATGTATTCAGGAATGTGGCTGTTTTGTTATGAATCACAGCTGATTACAAAGTGTTGAAATGTACAATGCATTACTTAAACTGTGCTTACCATATCATTTCCCATGCAGTATTTCATGATGATAATGGCCATGATTGCATAATTTCAAAGGTTATTATGTAATGCCGGAAGATGTTTATTGTAATATTGTGTAGTTGGAGGTGTGCTGTATAGTCTGCTGCAGTGCGTCCCTTTGCCCTTGTGGCAGACGTCATATGAGTGCTGAACAACTATCGGTCAATATTTAAAAGCAAAAACCATATATTTTGGGGCTCAATATTTATCATGTACATTTTCTTTGCAATAGTGGGGACATTTTTCCCATTTTTGTGTAATGTGACTTGAACTGTAGAAAATAGAATAAATAACTTCTATCACTAATTATTGGTTCATTCTACTGTTTATTTGTTGCAGCTCAGGCCTTTTATACTGCCTATTTAAAATATGGTTTACTGGGATTATCCTGCTTTATTTTAATTGTGTCAGTTTCAGTAGTATCACTTATTGCAATATTTCCCTGTAGCAATATGTCATACTTGAAAACATGTTATCGTGACAGACCTATGTGCACCTTATTAGGATGCCAACATGCCATAGCTCTATTCACATAATCATCACTTTAGCTCTGTTTAACACTGACACTGTGTTTGGATGCTCGGCAGGTATCTCTCTCCGCCACACGATTGTAATGTAATAAAGGTAACGCATCGGTGTGAGTAATGATGCACAAACAGGAGCAGAGACAGCTCCGTGAGTCATCAGTCAGAGAGGGAATCCTGCGCTGCTTTGACGGGGAACAACCTTCATTAGTGCCAGCGTCTGTGGGTGTTGTGTATGTGCAGTAGGTGGCTCTGTGCTTGGGCTGCTTTCAACTAACTCGTATTATGTCTTTCCAGATCTGTGTGGGAGACTGGCAGTTTTGTCTTCCAGTTCACACAAGCATCAGCAGAAGACTATTCTTCTTTTGAATTTCAAACTGGTGCAAGAAAATTATATTATTATGATGAATATAACTAGCAGAGAGCCCTGTCATCATAAAAAAGTTTTGGAATGTGATAGATTGCTGAAATATACTGTAGATGATAAACGATGATACTGAACGTAATTTGTGCCACTGACTGACACAATAAACTAAGAGCAGATTTAAACCATAAAAAATTCATCTAAATAGACAATATTGTAAAAAAAAAAAAAAAAAAAAAAAAAAAAAACATGAAATGCAATAATTAAAAATTAAACACTATAATGAGTCATTGAAGTTATTAATTCAACCTTTTATGACTTAAATCTTTCATATACTGGACAATAATGTAGTAATTATCGCAATAGGCCTAGTGGGGCTGCAAGATTAATTGCAATTAGGGATGTAATAATAACCGAAATATCTTGATATTGTATCGTCAAAGTTCTCACAATAATATCGAATCATAAGCCTCTTTGCTTAAATTAAGAATTATTGTGCAGCAATAGTTAAAAAAAGACAGAGGGAAAAACATAGACCATTATCCTTTGTATACTACAAGAAGAAATAACAGTTCTAAGCACTTTTAAGTCTTAGTTCTTTGGATTAAGTCTTGTCAAGGCATTTTAAGAGGAAAAAGTAGCATATTAACATTAATAAATATTGTACCGAGAGATTTGGATATTGTCACATCCCTAATCATGAGCCTCCCCACCATATCGTGCATTCTCCCACAATATTGCAATAAATATCATACCGTGAGGTTCATACCGTGAGACTTGGATATCATTAGACCCCTAACTGTAATCAAATCGAAATTACAATTTAAATGGACACAAAAAGCAAATCA